TGTATAATCCCAGAGTTGCGTTAGAGTATGTAGAAGCTCCTGTCCAAGACATACAATATGGAGCATCACCAAGCCCACATTCGTCTCATGTAAACAGTACCTAGGCCAGTGAGGAGAGGGAATAACTTTTTTGGATTAACATTCTTTTCGTAGTAGGTATAAACGGGAGGCCGTACCAAGCGCACCAACGTCTCTCTTGGTACCAGTCGAGACGCTGTATTCAAACGCAAGAACTGAATGCGATAGTACCAAAAACGTTTCAATGTCTGAATGTAAGCTCAGCCACACCTAGATGTCGACAGATTGCCGATTCAGCCACATTGCCACGCAATCTACTACCTATGAACATGGAGTCGATACAAGTGCCTCTCCCTCTTTCTGTACGTAGGTAGCCTGTAGGTGCTTGAAATCTGGCAAGAGTTGATTGGATTCTCAAGCGAGTATGAAAGACATACCTATGTATGTCTGAGAGGATTGCCTAAACAGCCGCCACCAAGTAGACTCCTATAAAAGCTGTCGTCCCTGAGCTTAGTACTCTGTCGTATGCTCAATCTCAGGCCCCGCTAAGCTTACGTATTGCCGTCCTTACGCATCTATACCCCTCCTTCTTCTCACCCCTGTCCCTAATCCATTGTGCAACACTCACCTATCTCATAACTGGCCACACTTACTTCCACTCTCTTACAACATCCGAAATGGGAGGCCAGTATCGCGCGGTGGTCTACTTCGTCAACTGGGCTATCTACGGACGCAAACACCGACCGCAGGACCTTCCCGCGGAGAAGCTGACCCATATCCTGTACGCCTTCGCCAATGTGCGCCCAGAGACCGGGGAGGTATACCTGACAGATCCCTGGGCCGACACGGACATCCACTGGGAGAGCGACAGTTGGAACGACAGCGGCACAAATCTGTACGGCTGCCTGAAGCAGCTCAACCTACTGAAGCGCAGGAACCGCCACCTAAAGGTACTCCTGTCCGTCGGCGGCTGGACCTATAGTGGTAACTTCAAGCAGCCTGCCTCCACACCCCAGGGCCGCGCCGCCTTTGCCAACTCCTGCGTTGAGCTCATCAAGAACCTAGGCTTTGATGGCATCGACGTCGACTGGGAGTACCCGCAGACGGCGGGCGAGGCGGCAGACTTCGTAGCGCTGCTGCGCGTCGTCCGGGAGGCCATGGACGGGTACAGCCGCACCCTGCCGGAGCCGTACCACTTTGAGCTGAGCGTGGCATGCCCGGCCGGCGCGCAGAATTACGGCAAGCTGGATCTTCCGGCCATGGATCAGGTGCTCGACTTCTGGAACCTGATGGCGTACGACTATGCAGGGTCGTGGGACAGCGTGGCGGGGCACCAGGCGAACTTGTTTCCCAGCGCCTCGAATCCGTCGGCGACTCCCTTCAGCACCTCTGCCGCGCTGGATCACTACTCGTCCCACGGGGTCCCGCCGCATAAGCTGGTGCTGGGCATGCCACTATACGGGCGCGCGTTCCAGAGTACGGCGGGGCCGGGTAGTGCCTACAACGGCGTTGGCGAAGGAACGTGGGAAGCGGGTGTGCACGATTACAAGAAGCTGCCCCTTCCCGACGCTGCAGAGCGTGTAGACCCCGAGGTTGGCGCGAGCTACTGCTACGACGCGGGGACGCGGACGCTGGTCAGCTACGATACAGTGGAGATGGCGAGGACGAAGGCGCGGTTCGTTCGAGAGCGGCATCTGGGCGGGGCTATGTGGTGGGAGAGTAGCGCGGATAAGGAGGGCGGCAAGAGTCTGATCGGGAATGTGATTGACGTGTTTGGTGGAACTGGGGCGCTGGATCATACCCAGAATTGCATCGAGTACCCCCATACCAAGTATGGGAACCTGAAGGCTGGGTTTCCCAACAGTTAAGAACCAGAGCATGTAGAAGCGGTGTATGGGTTGGATGAAGTGAGCAGGAATTGACTGCTCATTTGAACAAAGGCATGGGATATTTGAGACTGGCGGCTGAATAAAATCTACAGACTACGATCCTGAGACCCGGCGGTTCGTATTACAATTAAAATTACCAATATTTTACAGCGGGACTGTGATTAAGTGAGTGCTGTATGTAACATAGGATAATATCCTCACCCCTTGGCGGAACTCGGCATCATAAAGACTCGGCATCATAAAGAGAGAAGAGCATCGAAAGACACCGGTGCAGCTGGAATTATGATGCATGGATGATCCAGTAATTATCTGCTGGGGGAAGGTAGGGAGACTCCGAGACGAAGAGTAGGTAGTCATGGAGACTCCAAGAAAGATGGTTCTGAAAGACGGAAGATTATCCGCACCATAAGTACCTATCTATAGGAAAGGTACCACAGGATTACAACCAGGAAACCACCTAGGTTGGATATCATACCTACCGTGACGCCAGCGCAGGTTCGGGAGATATATAAGAGCATGTCACGCTTTACTAAAGTAGGATAATATCGTTCATGAATGTGTATTCATTGAGACTGTGCCCAGCTATCTACGTCCTATCAGGATCACCCCATGAGCTGTTACCTCATTCCGTATCCTTCTCCATGCAATCGAGGTTGATGTGTGGAAGCATTCACTGCTTGTCGAAGACGTAGGTAAGGTGGCAGCGACCGCAGTACTGTCGGTCCTGCATGGCAGCCATGAAGATACCGGCACCACACTAAATGGGCACTGTTAGAAGCGTGGCAGACAGGGTCAAACGGGAAAACTTACGGTGTCGGCGGGGCACTCGCGGCGGAGACGCTCGATCTTGCCGTCACCGTCGACCTTGTAGTACTTGAGGACGGCGAGCTTGGTCTTCTTGCGCTTGTGCTTGATCTTCTTGGGGGTGGTGTAGACCTTCTTCTTGCGCTTCTTGGCACCGCCGCGGAGGCGGAGGACGAGGTGAAGGGTACTCTCCTTCTGGATGTTGTAGTCGGATAGGGTTCGACCGTCCTCGAGTTGCTTGCCGGCGAAGATCAGGCGCTGCTGGTCAGGCGGGATGCCCTCCTTGTCCTGGATCTTGGACTTGACATTGTCGATGGTGTCGCTCGACTCCACCTCGAGGGTGATGGTCTTGCCCGTGAGGGTCTTGACGAAGATCTGCATGATTGCCTGTCGGGATCTAGTGTCAGTGGAATGTAATCGGCGCGGGTCATGTAGGTGGTCAGACAGGGCAGTGCGTGTCAATGTTGCGTGTCGAAAATGTTGATTTAAAAGCGATGCGAGAAAACGCGTCGTAAAATCGGCACGCAAACAATCATCTTGAAGCGTGCAAGGTATGTGACAGAGAGCAGAAAGGGTGAGGGAAAGAGATATTTTTACGTACCTAGACAATAATATTATTGCCGTCCTAAGCAAGCGTGAAGATATTCTTGGTTTGTAGTAGAGAAGAAGAAAGGATTGATGGAGGGGAGCAGAGGCGCGAAGAGTTAGTACTAAGTCTGCCGGTGTGGAGGGTGACGACTTAGGCGGTGGAGCACGAGTCACGTGTTAGGGTTCTCATTTCAGCGTGCCCTGCTTCAGTCATCGGCTCCACCAATTTGCCCTACCAAATCTACCTTGTCCCCTCATTGGACCGTAATTTTTCCTACGCGGTGGGGTTCTACTTCGACTTTCAACTAGACAAAAATATTTCCACACACCAATTCCAACACAGAACTCACCCACACAAGTCACCAACCAATCTCTTTCCCTTCGACACCACAACACAATATGTACGTTGAGCACATTCTCTCCTCGTATCAAATCACTATCACCGCAGAATCGATCGTCAATCCTAACAATACGATATAGCCGAACACCGCGATCATGGTTAAGAAGAGAAAGAATAACGGCCGCAACAAGAAGGGCCGCGGTCACGTCAAGCCCATCCGCTGCAGCAACTGCTCGCGATGCACACCCAAGGACAAGGCAATCAAGCGCTTCACCATCCGTAACATGGTCGAGTCCGCAGCTATTCGTATGTTCCCTTGTCCTCTCCACCCCAATTTGAATGAGATAGCTCTACTAACTGTCGGTCGCAGGTGATATCTCGGACGCCTCTGTCTTCGCGGAGTACACGGTTCCCAAGATGTACCTCAAGTTACAGTACTGTGTCTCTTGCGCCATTCACGGCAAGATTGTCCGGTACGTCGATCCCGTTGGGGAGACGACTACGCGCTCATCTCGAGAACCGCGTATGCACTTGAGATGAGCCTTGGTTGAACCTCAAACAAATAACCCCCTCCTCTTCTTCGATAACTACAGCCACTAACTGCTCTCCCTCTAGTGTGCGATCCCGCGTCGGCCGCCGCAACAGGGCCCCTCCTCCTCGTGTTAGATACAACAAGGATGGTAAGAAGGTGACTCCCACCCAGACTGCCAAGGCTACGTAAATGCTTCGTTTCCGGCGTCCGTCTTAGGGAATGCGTCAGGGTGTCTGGGGAGGAATAAGGTCCTCGGAATGGCTTTAGCTCTCGGTTTTCGGCATGATCATTCTCAGATAATGACTTCCATAAATAAAGTCATGTTTGCCACGACGTAAAACCAAATGCTCTTCAATTTTCTATTCGTTCTCAAGTGACATTTGCCATTCGCAAGTATTATCGGATACCCTATCAAGAACAAATCCAAGTTGCAAAAAGTCCTTTCTCCCGAAATGCACCACAGCCTAGCTGCCTAGCTACTTAATAAAATATCAGTGAGAAAATTCTAACCTAATCTCGCAGAGCTGTCGCTGCCCGCCTCACCTATGAAGTATATGTATGTTTACCCAACTAGCTCACACAACTGATAAATTTTTATCCGAAGGCACATCGCCCTAGCGTTTTGGGACGGTTTATCTCATGATGCTAGATTAGTAGTTTAGATGCCTTGCTAACTTGTCAACGAACATTCTTTTGAACATTTATTTTGATTTGGCGCAGTTTGAGATTCTGATAGAATTGGATGTAATTCCAAAACAACAATGAAGAAAAAAATGCGAACAATCCCATTTTTCAACATGAAGCAGACCTCACGAGGGGGAAAAATTTTTGGACGAGCAGGGAGTTGAACCCTGGACTTCTCGCAATACTGCTAGAAATGCGAAGCGAGCACTCTACCACTGAGTTACACGCCCTGAACATTGAATTAATAAGTTAGCAAAGCTGCCTTTTTTTAGCACCTATATACATTGTCCATTCAAAATAGACCTAGCGATCGGAGTATGCCGAAGCATGCCTGCTGACTAAGATAGGTGGTAGGTAGGGAACTATAATGTGCAGCTCAGCGACAAAAACGGAAGCAACGTCACCTAAGCGACAGCAGAAGAGGGTATAGTGCTTTTATATGCTGCTCTTATTCCATTTCAGACACTTGGAAAATTTCGGTGTATTGGGAAGAGAGAGTTGTTCAATATTTTGCCTAGCGTGGAAAGCGACATTTAAAGACGACTTCGGCACGATACAAGTCAAGATTATTTTATCGTGCGATGTTGGCCAGAAGATTTTACTTATCAAGATAGTAGGTACCTATGCGCTATGAATGTTGTCAACCCGTTCTGGTATCGACAGTACATACGGGCTTAGGAAGGTTATCTCTGACAAGAATGAATGGGTTCCATGGAAAGTCCACCGTTTGCTTGATATGTACCTTATGTGGTTGTCTCGCATTGTAGGATGATTGCCCAGTTCCATTGATGGGTGCGCCTTGCTTGGAATCAACTGTTTGGTCTGAACTAAAGAATATCTCTGTTAATAGTTGAGTATTTTGGGTATGGAGGTACACGTAGCAACCTGTTATAATTGTTAACGGAAGGTCACCAGTCCGATCCCGGTCTGGGACGTTACTTTTCTTATTACAATATGCTATCTAATATCTAGAAATCATAGCTTCTTTGGCCTATTACGTTTTGTAGCCTTACTCTTAGGTGTCCATATTTGCGTGAAATGTAAAATATGGGTCTTTAAGGAGAGCTGACTGAAAGCGGGATCATGACGGCGTCCTTCTCAATCTACAAGTGTGCCACTCATCTCGGGCTATCATGGGGGCTATGATGGAAGTAGAGAGACGTAAGAAGTACAAGGTCGATATTATTAAGCACGGAACTACCATTCTCCCACAATGTAAATCAAGTATCATGGGGTGAGAGGGCGAGGGATGGCTGACAGATCTTAAGCACTGGGAAGCAGTGCTGTATTGATGGTGGTGATAATGATGATAGCAACGCTTGATTCAAACATCGTGTGATGTTTACCTAGGTACGTACCTAGGTAGGTAGGTAGTCTTGCTCTCCAACTGGCCGGTAGGTAGAACATTTCGCAACACAACAAGTAGATCATGGTTCTAAGTTGGGGGCAGATGACACAAGATCTCATCAACTATCCTATCTAGGAGAACATGCCAAATCTCCGAAGTATTTCTATCCTTAACATGTACTTCGTACGGTATGTTGTTATTATCTGCTTGGTCGAGTCGAATACTAGGTGGTTGACCAGATGAAACTGGGGCTTCTTAATTGGCCTTACCAATTTCATTTTGAACAAGCAATTGACGGAGAAAGCCGAGAGGCATTTATATAGGTCTACCGTCTACGAAGGTGGGTTACTTGTTACAGCGCAGTTGAAGTCAAATCGAAGTCCAACCAGACCAGTCCATGACCTGACACATGAGACGGGCACTCAAGACCAGAAGACAAGAGGAACCAGTGCCGATATATACCTAATCATGCTAAATAACTAGGACGCAGCCTGCTTGGTTGATAGATAATTGATTCATTAATCCTAACTGCTTACATATCATCGTTTCCGTGCATGCTCTTCGCATATCGATACGCCAACCATCGTAGCCCGATCGTTTCGCCTTTCCTTACGATCATTACACAATCGTCCATCGACACAGCGTATCCTTCCCGCTATCTTCGCGTTCACCTCATAGGAACAGGCTGCCCAGCCCCATGCAGGTGTTGATTCTGGGGTCTCGCGACGGTTCCCCGCGCGATAAAGTCGCGGTTCTCAATCGTGACGCTCTTTGTCATATGGTTTACCTTGTACACGCCCACAAGACGGGCCGCGAGCTCGAACATGTTATTGCGCAGCGAGATAACAACGAACTGGGCGTTCTTGGTACGCTCCTTGATGTAGTTCGCCACGATAGACACCTGTATGGTCCGCATTAGTAAATCTGGGCGCAAGGGGCTTTGTGGGTTGAAAAGGTAGCTAGGAAGGGGGAGAACGAGACGGAAGACACTCACGTTCCTGAAATCCAGCGCAGCGTCGATCTCGTCCATGACGTACAGCGGCGTGGGCTTATAATGGTGTAACGCAAAGACCAGGGCGAGACTCGACAGGGTCTTCTCGCCACCACTCAGGTTGCTGATGTTCTTCCAGCTCTTCTTGGGCGGCATCACGGAGAAAAGAATACCCTCACTGAAGGGGTCCAGGCTGTCGACGAGCTCCAGCTCCGCGTTGCCACCCATCGTAATCATCTGGTACATCTCTTTCAGCCGTAGCGAGATGGTACTGAAGCCTTCCATGAAGCCCTCAAGCCGCAGCCGTCGCAGGTCGTCGCATCGCTTCTTGGCCGCGTCGCGCTGCTGCACCGCGCTGGCTAGATCCGACGATCGCGCTGCGTGCTCCTCAACGCGCCTCCGGTATTCGGAGAGTACGCTGACGTCGACGTTGACGTTCTGCGTCTTCTCTTCGAGAGCCGCGATCTCGGCTTTCAGAGTCTCCTTGTCCATATCCTTGAGCTCGTCCTCGGTGAATCGCGGAAGGTCCTCGGGCTGATGCTCCTGTTCTCCCTGCTGTTCTTCGTCCTGGGCCTCTGCGGGTTCGTCTTGACCTTCCTCTTCGGTAGACTTCTTGGCGGGTGCCGGGCCGCCCAGGTCGTTCACGTTCTGGAGAACGAGCTTGCTCAGCTTCTCGTCCCAGTAACGCAGCCGCTTCTGGTTTTCTACGAGTACTTTATGGTTCTCCTCAAGTTTGTTGCGCATCTCGATCTCGACGGCGCGGGTCTCGTTGAGTTCCGAAGTCTTCTCGTCCAGTTCGGCCTTTAGCGTCGCCAGCTCCTTCTTCTTGTCTGCGAGCCCGGCTTCGGCCTCCTCGACGCGAGCGTTCAGATGCTCGGACTTGCTCCCCTGGTTCTTGACTTCTTCCTCCAGGTTCTCAAGGTCACCTATCGCGGCCTCCAACTCCTTCGTGGCCTTGGCGTGGTCTTTTTCGAGTTTTGCCTTGGATTTTTCTGCCTTGGCTCTCTTAACCTCGGCGTTCGAGGTCTCCTCGTTGTGCGAGGATATCGCTTCCTTGATGGAGTCGACCTTCGCGCGCTGAGACCGAAGCTTCTCGCCGCCAACCTCCATAATCTTGTCCTGTAACTCCTTGATCTCTGTCTCGACGCCCTCGGTTTCGGCATGAAACTTCGACACCTCCTTGTTCAGCTTCGTGATCTCCTTTTGCAGAAAGGCCAACCTGTTGTCGTCGGACTGCGACGGCTGGTGTTCCTTGCTTAGCTCCTTCACGCGTCGTCCGGCATCCGCGAGGTTCTTCTCAGCGCTCTGCACCTCCAAGACAAACTTCTGCACCTTCGTGTCCAGCTGAGGAATCTGGTCTTTCAGATACCCGAGACGGGATTCCAGCTCTCGCTGGTGGTCCTCGAATTCTTGAAACTGCTGCTCAATAGAGTCGCGGTCGCTTTCGAGTTTGGCAACCTGTTCCTTGGTCGTATCCGCTACGAGCTTGCTGGACATTGAGCCTTTCTTGACGGTACTTCCACCTCCGGACATGGTACCGCTCTTGTCGATGAGCTCTCCGTCGAGTGTGACCACCCGCCACCTCCTGGCGCCGTACGCAATCCTGTTTGCCTGAGCCAGGTCCTTGGCGACCAGGGTATCCTGGAGCGAGTGGTAGAAGGCAGGCCGGAACTTGTCGTCTTTCGCTCTGATCAGGTCAAACAGGCGTGGCGCGTTCTCGGGGGTCTGGATGGGCTCTAGGTCGCGTACGCGCAGCTTGTCCAAGCAAATGAAGTTGCCTCGTCCGAGGTTGGTCTTCCGCAGGTACTCTATGCATTGCTGGCCGGCCTCGACCGTGTCGGTGACGAAGTTGTCGAGCGAAGGACATGCCGTGGAAATGGCGACGTCGTATTTCTCGTCGATCGTGCCGAGGTTTCCCAGACGCCCGTGGAAGCCATCAATCCGTCCTGACTCTCTCATCCGCATAAGTGCCGCGAGTACGTTGCCTCGGGTTTGAGTCTGCGAGAGGCTGGACCGGGCTTCTTCCGCCTTTTGTCTGGCGTTCGATACCTTGGCGCGAGCGTTAGGCTCCATCTGGGCCAGGCTCTCGAGATCGGCCGCAACCTTCATCGCTTCCTTTTCTAGGCTGGCCTTCCCCGCCTGGCACTTCTCTAGCTCGACCAGCTTGGCTGCGCGGCCTTCCTCGATGCTAGCGATCTTGGCCTGCATCTCCTCAAGAGCTACCGCGCCGGCATTCGCCTTCTCTTCGAGGATGGTCAATTCGGACTCCGCGACGGCGATGGCAGATTGTTTCTGGTTGATCTTCTCCTTCCAGGGCTCGAGAGACTTCTGCTTGACGGCGATCTGGTCGGAGAACACCTGAGTCTTGCCTTTGAGGCTGTCTCGGATCGCTGCAAGCTCTACCTCTTCCTGCCGGACGCGCTGCTCGAGGTCTGCGATCTCTCCTGCGCGGGAAGAGATCTCCTCGGTGCAATGTTCGACGACTTCCTCGGCCTCGGCTAGCGACTTCTCCGCGTTGGAGATCGTCTTCTCGAGCTTCTTCTGCTTGTCGGCCAGGAACTTCCGCTTCTCGTCAAACTTGACCCTCTCTTGCTCGAATTTGGCGACCTCTTTGACGAGGGCTTGGGTCTCCTTCTCTCGGGCTTCGAAGTCTTTCGATCCCTTAGAGTACGCCTTCTGCAGCTGCTTGATGATCTGCTCGCTGCCCTGGTGCTTCTCGAGCTCGTCGTCGAGCTGAGCCTGCATCTGGCTGATGGCTTCTTCGGTGACGGCCACGTTGTTGCCGCACTCGCTTATGTAGAGCTGGTATAGCGCTGACTGCTTAAGGGTCAGGTCATTTTCGTCCCGAATGTAGGCCAAGGCCTTGTTCTTCTTGTCTTCGAGGCTATTCT